GATTAATTTTCAGCACTGTACGAAATGGAAGGACAGATAGATAAATCTATCTTAAATGAATTATCATCATTGAACAGAAAATCAAGAGGCAATAGAGAAAGAAGCGCGAAATGAGTAAGAATAATTGAATACATATAAACATAAATTAAATGAAACAAATTATACTATCAAAATTCAAAAAATATATAAATATATACATATATATATGTTTGGAGAAAGAGAAAGACATTTTATTTTATTATATCTATATTGTCTGTAATATTTGTGTGTAACCGTTTAATTATAGGAAATACATTTTTATCATAGAAAAACAATAAACGTCTTCATAACTGTATCTTAAAAATATTTATAAAAATTAATTATTATAATTGTTATTTGTTCTTGCTGAGATGAGTTATCATTAGTTGAATTAGCTTTATCATATGGCATTTAATCATTCTTATATTTAATAAAATTTTAGGCGAGGACAATCCAGTGGCGGAAACAATTATATTCTTCTGAGCTTGTCTCCTCACACATGTGAATGGCGTATCGAGTCTCGTATCGCAAGATCGGTCTCGTTAACATATCCTCGCAAATGCTGCAACTATCGAGAGGGCAAGAGTTATGACACTGTATGGAATTGCCCGACACCAGGCCATCTTCGAGGCAGAGGCCGTATATAAAAACAACGTTAGCCATAAATCGATATCTGAGAAAACAATGATATATGGAATCATAAAACAGTAAGAATAAAATCCTATGTGTAAATACATCATGAATATACAGTGTGAACACTTAAATATATCTCTTTTGTGCCGTGCATATACAACTCGTAAATAGCTTCAAAACAATTTAATCTATCACTCTTATCTTTCACATTTTAGCTCGTTACATTTAACTCGCCACGAAAAAATTTTTAAAAGAACACGAATATAAATTCAAGTGGCACTGCACGTGCCAATTTACACATTAATTTGCATGGTTGTATTTATGTCAGACAGTACAATGTTATCGCGGCATTCGAGGCTACATGTACAAATGGCGAGTGAAACTGTTTGCATTATCAGAAAATTGCGCGAAGTATAATGTGACTTTAGCTATATATATCGCTTCAAAAATATTGCCGTACAATTTTGCAATATAACTTCTACTAAATTACGGAAACTTTTTGAACATGATTCATTTTCTTATCTATGTCCAATTATTATAGGCGGATACATATAAGAGAGATCACGAGTAAAGAGATGCAATTGAAATAAATTACATTATCGTATACATATACATTTCATGAATACAAAAATACGAATGCATAATGAACGAAAAAAGATTTACGATATTTCGAACTGACTGTTGTTTAACACTCAGAAATTTCTGCATAATTTTATCGATCCGCAAGTATAAAAAGGTAGCACTAAACAAGTAGACGAGTCAATTTATTCGTTTCGCCAAGAACTTATTGGGGTACAGAAATTACTAAATAATTTTCGAACTGATTATTATTTACTAATTAGTATTATCAGTTAGAAGTATGCGTATTTTTATGCTTTTGTCGTTAGTTTTCGTAAGCAAGATATTAGCACTACCGACATATAAAAGACAAGTTCGGGTATGTATATTTTATTAAATGTTTTATTAAATATTTTATTAATGAATGTAATGTGTAATCTATTAGATATTATTTAAAAACGTATATAATACAAATCACTATTTGCAAACACTTAGAAAAAATAACAACAATGTGTTCTTTTCTGGATTATTAATTCTTAAATCTTTCTTTTTTTCATATAGGGTATTTCATTCTCAGATGATGCGTCAGTTTCTGCAGGTTTAGGCGGAATAGGAGGAAAATTAAAAAAGAATATTGGTGTGACAGTACCGCACAGTTTATTAAATATATTTGGATTGAGCGATGAGTCAGATAGCAACGAAATAGGCTTAAATATCGAAGGTAATTAAACGAAAACTAATAATCCAAGTTTTATAATAAAAGAAATCTTGAAGGTTTGAGATATAATATGATAAAGAGTTCTTAAGATGTGTTACCGTTATCCATTATTTTGTACAATTATTAAGAAATGCCAATTTTATCACTTTTACAAGTGTTATTGTTATTTAAATGTTATTATTAAACATTTCCTGCAGGAGGAATAGGGCTCAAGCCAAAATTGTCGCTTGGTGGAGGTGATGCAGGCTTTGGAATATCGCTTGGCGGGAAGGGCGGTTTGGATATTGGAATGTCGGGCAACCACAACAAGAGACCTTCAGAAAGAGAACACTCTGATAAACATGACAAATCCAAAAAACACGAAAAATCTGCAGAAGAATCTAATAGTAGTGGAATTTGGGGATCGATTACTCATATTTTTGGTGGAAACGCTGAAAGCGACCATGCAGATCACAAGACATCACTTGATACCGATAAAATATCTGCTGATCTTGGCGGTGGGATATCAGCTGATGTCACAGGTAAAAAATATAGAGAACATGAAGAACACAAAGAACACCACACGAAGCATAACGGATCGAAAGGACACCAAAGCTCAACAAGTATGAACTGGACTGCTGATAAACATTTAGAAGAAAATAAGAATAGTTATTGGGACGAAGGAGACATAATTGTTATACCACTCTCGGATAGAGAAAAATCAGATGAAGATGTCGATAGAAATGGAAATGATAACAGTCACGTAAAAAAATCATCAAAAGAAAATAAAATTAAAAACAGTGGAAAAAAGAGAGAGAACGGCAATGATATGGAGAGAGGAGAAAATATCACGATATTACATGGCAAGGATGGACAACACAGTGGCAGCGATAAAGGACGTAACAATAGAAACGGAAATAGTAACAGTCACGTAAAAGGAGGAAGCATCGTAATATCACACGGAGATAACGAAACCAAGGAGCAAAAAGCGTCAAAACAGACTACAACTAAGAAAAGTGGAGAAAAAGAAGGGAACAACAGCAATTATGATAAAGGTGGACAATCTGGTGATCATGCAGGAGGTAGAAATAATGATGTAAAAAGAGAAAATACTAATCATAATAACGGGGAAGATGTGATTATTAACGGAAGCCACAGCAATGAAAACCGAAATAAGAATTCCACAGGACATGATGGTGTGGTGGCAGGCAAAAAATCAGATATAAAAAAGACTAATGGACTTTTATGTAATTATGATGAAATTCTCAGTACTGGAAAATGTGGTAGCAACATTAAATCTACATTACAGCTCGTTCAAACGTTTATCCGCAGTTTCGATGTTATCGTTCATTTCTTATTAGAGGTAAACATTTATTTCTCTTATACCCGAATAATTTTACAATGTAATGTAATTAGAATCAACAATTTGCCAGAAATAACAAGCAGTTTTATAATACATAAACATTTATAATTTAAATATAAAGCAGTTAATTTTACAATATTAAAATTCCATTCTTTTTGCAGCAAAAGGGGAACGATTTGCGCAAAGTGTTATGCCAAGTTTTACCACATAATAGTAAGCTTTCCTGCCAATTGGGTTGTGATGTTCTTCGTGTCAAACCAATTTTGAAATACTTCTGAAGCGATATATTTATAATATCATATTTGTTATCTTAGCAATAATTAATTTTTGCATTGATAACATATATACATTATTATTATAACCGAAATATATGATAATTGTTTTCTCAATAACTTTAATTGCAATTTAACGATGTAATAATTATTAATTAATAAATACATAACATAATAAGTTATTCTTTGATTTGTGCTCATCTTTTCTTAAAAATTAAATAAATAAATGAATTTTTATTTTTACAATAAATCTCAGAAATTCCTTTTAATTTTAATTTTGCTTCTGATGGTCCAATCAGGAGAATTCGTTTTCAAAAAAGAAATTCTCTTATTGGCCCATGAGCTGCGTTTCGACAATAACCGACATAAGTAATATTTGCATTGTAAATGTGCTAAATAATTTGTACATTGAAATTAAAGTAATTTGTAAAATAAAGAATACTTGTTAAGCATATATAGTATTAATTGATTTTCGAAATACGGAAAATGCATAATCGCAAAGTTAAAAACGGCGCGTAGCGACGTCGCGTCGATCTTGGCGCGTGAAGTTGACCGCGCGGAAAACGAAGCGCCCTTGCCATTTTGATTATGCTACCCCTTCGTTTTCACGGTTTCCAGAACGCGGCGGACGTTGGACAGATCGGCAGGATCGGCTCCGTGCGGAACGAGTGGCGTCGCGACTCACGGTAAACGGTAACAATGTACGTATATGAACCTCGCATTCATTATTTACTGCAGTACCTATCGCGTACCATAAATTCAGCGTACGGGTATTGATATTTCTCAAAAATACGTATTTCGCGGTGTTTAATGTCCGGCCGAAGGCGCGTCGCGAGGGGGCAATCGCGAAAATGATCATATTTCCGAATGTCGCGAATATCGCAGCGATGTCAGCCGGAAATATTAACACACCTATTCGCTAGAATGCAAAGTGACAATCGTACTAAAAGGCGAGCATATTATTTCCTTCTCGAATAAACAAACGCAGGCATTATCTTTCTTATGCGGCTGTTTGAGCATAGTGTTGATAAAAGC